AAAAGTTTGATTCGCCTGGATTAGGGGTGGATTCGAGTCGAGCCAAGCCGAATAGTACCAGGCTCAAGCTCGGCTCGAGACTGTTCTACAAGGCTCGAATTTGGCTCAAGCCAGAACCTTGAGCTCGAGCTCAGCTCGGTCGAGCTCGATTTTGAGAAAAATATTTTATAAAAATAAAAAATTTATATAAAAACATTTTTTATTTGAATCTGATCCATATATGATTAGATCTAATATGATCTCGTCATATTAGATCTCGTCAGACCCACTAATATTTTAAACATTTACGTTTAATGCTTATATCTACGTTGGGTCTCACAATAGTTATTTTCAAGCCATTTTTTCATTATATTAAATTCATTTTTACTTAATTTATTTTATCAAAACATAGAATCTTCTGACAAAATTTTATTTGGTGTATTCAATATCTGAACCTGTTCTGTGTCCGGTGTCCAAATCCAATGGATAAGATTCGATCCAAATTTGAATATTAACAAAGTAAATTTAGATTTAGACTATGTCTAAACTTGAACCAATCCCTTTGCATTCCTAACGTAATCAATTTTTTTTTCAGCATCCCTATACTATATTATCAAAAACTACCCATCATCATCTTTAATTAGGGGTGTTCTTTGATTTATCAAAAAATTATAAAAAAGCAGGCCTAAATCACTACCCTAATTGCCATGCCAAGTTTCACTTCAATGGAGGCTGAAGCTTTGGCTTTTTAACACAGATTGCAGTTTTCTAGTGAATCATCCTTGCAACAATATATATTTCAGTTATCAGATTACTATTGAGATGTAAGTTTTGCTTTATGTTTAATTTTAATGAAACCCATCTGATCCATGGTTATTCCCAACCCCAAGACAAAGAAAAAAGAAAAATAGTCATTGCTCAAGGAAATCAGCCTCCAAATCACCATAGCAAAAGAGATGGAGAAGCAAACAGTATCCACCTCTCTAACCAAAAGGTGACGAAATCAAAATAAATCAAGCCATCTTTTATGATAATATCTTAAAAGGGAGTCATACCTAAGAAAATTGGAAAGCAAACGTGGTTGGAAATATAAGCAAAGGGTGAGTAAAGGAGTAATTTTCTGGAAAAGGAAATCACTACTGCTTCTCTTTTGGATATAAAGTTTATGCATTGAAGATGATGAATTAAAGTAAATATTAAACTACGAAAACAATGAGAAGGAGATGAAGTACTTATCTTTTTCATTGAGAAATTAAAACAAGTCCTATTTGTGTTGATCATCTTTATACTATGGCCAAGTTTGAAAGTGCTTAAAAATAAGTGCTTGTTTGAATAAGCTCTTATTTGGGCCAGGACCATATCAATAAGCATTTATTGGCGTTTGGAAAATAAGCCCAAAAGAAGTGCTTATTCGAGAAGCCCAAAATTCAAACTTATTTTTAAGTGATTATTCAATAGGCACTTTTTTTCTTGCCTGTCTTGACCTGCCAGCCATTTTGAAAATACCTATATTATCCCTATTTGAAACGAGTGCTTTTTTATCAAATATTCATGAACATTTATTAGAATAAACACTTATTTTTCAAACAAGCATTCCCAAACATGGCCTATATGCCTCAGCCCTCAAACATCAGTGAGATTCAAGAGATACAACTCCATGCCCATGCTCTCGTCTTTTTTTTTTTTTTTTCTTTTGCATAAAACCATGTCACAATTGATTTTACCTCAATATCTATTTATTGCTTGATGAGTATTTTCTTTATGAATCCTATCAGTAAATTTAGAATTTTGTTGCTAACTAAACTAAGGGTTTGACCGGACAAGAGAATGTGAAATATTTCTTAAAATAATATAGAAGTTGTCACTAAACATGGTATAATGGAGATTAACAAGCGGGACAAAATTGTACCAGCAATTTTGAATATATATATATATATATATATATATATATATATATATATATATAAATTGCTAATAACAAGGAGCTTCCATTGCCATTGCCCTTCAAGTCTTTGTCTTTGTTCTTTGGCTTGGCTTTTAAATTTAAAATGAGGACTTTGGGCATTAAAGAAAACAGAAGAGGTGCAATAATTTCTGGGTTTATTTTATTTTAGTCCAAAGACATTGAAACAAAAAATTGTGAAGGAATGGCCTGAGCCTCTAGGGGGTGGCCATAGCAAAAAGGTTCCCTACTGGGATCAATTATGCCGTTTTGGTTTGAAAGAAAGGGTGGGAAAGATAGGGAAACCTGATTTAGGGGACCCTACGCAACCTGCCATATTTTGTCATATGGAGGGATGATGTGGCAATCCAAGGTGTCCACTGAGTAGGGGACCTTCTGGATTGGCCATCTCATCAGTCCTGTAATCTGCTTCAGCCTTGTATACCACCTATTCCAATCATGTGTATGGATGCACTGTTAATCATAATCAGCAGCGTCATCACTGCTGCTGTTAAAAGACAATTAACTAAAGATGCTCCAAGGTTTATCAGAAGATGAAATGGGCCCAAGTTACTGGAACATTCAATTGATGAGTATGATCAATTGGGTTGGATTGGGTTAATCTTCACATTAGTACTTCTAAAGGTGCAATTTTGGGTTGGATTGGGTTAAGAATTTGTTAAGTTTTTAATGGGCCCAAGGTTAATGTAAAAGTTTCAGTTTGGAACAATTAAATTAAGCCCAGATGTTAGGCCCAATAGAAGGAAACTTGGCGAATATTTTGAGGTGACGGGATTCTGTGCAGCAAAAACTCTGTACTGAGGGCCCAGATCTGCTGACAGCAAGCATACACGCTTACATCAAAACAATCTAGTCGTATATTGGGAACATCTCCTATGCATAGTTGGACTGGTATGCTGTCAGTGTGTTAACACGTTTTTTGCTGTTAGCAGATTCCTATTCCTCCCTTGATGGCATTAACTTGGAAAACTAATTTAATTATAAAAAAAAGTTTTTTCTTTGGCCAGAAAACTCGGAAAATCCAGCTACCCTTAAAAAGATTAATGACAACTTTTAACGGTTGTCAGAATATTTATAAAGTGCTCACTGAATGTGCTTCCTATATTGTTCCTACTGGATCCGGTCCCATGATTGGTACTTGCTTTTCGAAACCAACACTCTAAGCCATTTTCAGGAAACCATTTGCTTCCATTTATGTGCAACCAATCTAAAAGCACAATCTAATACAGAATCCAGCTGGTGCAAAGGTATGGGATTGCAAATGGAACTAAGGCTGCATTTGGAAACAATGCAAATATGTGTGAGTGCAAATATATAAAGTGTAAAACGGTTCATATAAATTACAAAGTTTGGTTAGTTTTGCATTGACAATTTTACCTTCTTACCAAACAGACTTTTAGCTGTAATGGATGCAAACACAAATTCCAATAAAACATATGCTCTTTTTTCTTATCAAAAACACACTTGAATGCAAATTTACTTCTTTTTTATTGATGTACTTTTATATCTTATTATCAGTGTAAATATACATTGTTCTGTCATTTGTCAATGCAAAAATGTAATATTGTCAAACACAGGCAAAAGTGAACTAGAGTGCAAATTTATCGTGAACTGGGATTTACACTCCAGTTGCATCATTTCCAAACGCAGCCTAAGGCTTTGTTTATTTGTAGGGCAATTTCGTTTCCACTGGTGCAAAGGTATGGGAATGCAAATGAATTGACTCCACATCTTGGTTTAATTTTGTTTTGATTTTTACATTGTTTTGTTTATTTACAATGCAGATAAAGCAAAATAAAACAAAACCTGAATAAAAAATGAACCCAAATTTACAATTTTCTTATTTACACTCCAATGCATTTGGTACAAATGAAATAGATCCTACATCCTTAATTGTGTTATAGGCCATTATGCTTTGAACAAGTTAACGCTAATAGCCTAGTACTACCTGGCCTATACCCATGATGTCTTGGATGGAACCAATTCACCCTCTTCGTCATCTAGAAGACTAGAAGTGCTTTTTCATCTGAACATGGAATCAACTTATAGTTTGGATCAAGGTTTTAAAACTGAATCCGACAATAAACTAGTCAGGGGTCTTGTTCTCGGGTCGAATGGTCCGATTATTTGAACTGAATGGATGGTCTGTTCTAATAAAAAAATAAAAATGGCTAAACCGTTGGATGGTTTGAATGATTCAACTGCCCAAATTAACGATTTATTGATAAAATCAACGGTTTTTTGCAAAATAACGATTATGGGATAAAACAAAATCAATTACTTGACTGATTCTCGGTTTTTCTAATCCGACTATCCGGTTTTAAAAACCATGGTTTGGATTTCCTAACTCTACCCACATGACATTGCAGCAACATATAAGGAACATCCTTTATAATTTGTATGTTATTATGCATGGGAAGATGTTCGTGATACACAGTAGACAGATGTGGGTAGATGTTCCCCATATTGTAGACATCTGAATCTGCTACGACTCTCAAACTCTACTCACAAGATACTACAGCCGTGAATTGGGAACATCTCCGCATGCATAATTTTAGGTTGTACTGCACGGGAGATGTTCCCCATATGGGCTGCGATGTCATGTGGGTAGAGATCTAAGTTTTAGGCTGTGACCCAGCTGTTTGTTATTGAATATAAATTTAAGAGAGAAACAAATTAAAGTTGACTGAGAGGAAGTTCTAAACTTCCCCTCTACTTTCTGTTTGTACCTTCTTGTGTATAAAATCAAACGCAGCATTAGTTTCACTTTGGAAATTTGTCTTGGCAACCAAATGGAGCCTATGCCTAGCCAAAGAAAACAAGTGTTCACAGGTTATAATGCTTTCTCATAAATGAAATATCAATGCCAGCTTTTGCATCTTATTCCTCCCCACTATCCATTTCTTTATAAATCTTATTTTAGAGATCGATCTAAAAGAGAGATTTCTATTAATTAAGCACTGAATCAAAAGATACAACATATATATATATATATATATATATATATATATATATAATTAACCAGTATAGCATCAACACAAACATCACTTATGTTCTTCTGAATTAATTCCAATCTATGCAAACTTGATCTCAAAAATCTACAACATAAAGTACTAGACCAAGAAAATAATAATTAAAGGTTCTAATATAATTAAATTGCATTGCTAATGGATTTGGTTAAGCCATAAGTTATAGCCATGGCTAACCACCCTCCAACTAGTACCCTCAAGCAAGCTCTGGCCACTGGTGCCCTCCCCAGCGCTGCACCCAGCCCTCCAAATACCAGCAACGCCAAGCTAGACACTGCGGCCACCACCCCCAACCTCACTCTATACTCTTTGATAAACGATGCCGACAGCAACGGCACCGCCGCTCCCACCGCAAATGCCAGGGTTGAAGCGGCAGCCGCCTGGAATGGGCTCGGCAGTTTCTCTTTCTCGCTGTTCTCTTCGTCCTCGCTCTTCCCACTCTCTCTCGCTCTCTTCTGATCTCTCTTGATCTGAGCCAGCTCGATGTCCAACTGCGAATAAACTGAAACATACTCGCCTATGGCCATGCTGCATGCACCCGCCACCAGCCCAGCAAATCCAGTGATGATCATGGCCTTGACGTCTGTTTTAACTGCACCCACCCCCATCATCAGAGATGCCGTGGAGACCAACCCATCATTCGCTCCGAGCACTGCGGCCCGAAGCCACTGAGCTCTTTGTGAGTAGTCGAATCCCTCCTCTCCATCAGCTTGGTTTTTCTGGTGCTCATCGTCATCATGAACATCAATGCTGCAGACGACCAATTTGGAGTCCTTGAGGACTACTGGTTGGTCTCCAGCAATGGCAGCCATCACCATGAATGAATGGATGGAGGAAAGGAAGTGAAGGCGTATGCAAGACACACGCCCTCTGAAGAGGATATTTATGGAGAGGTCGGTGGCGTGAAATGATGGGCATAGACGTGGCACCTTGTTTATTAATCTGTATATGTTATTGTTTATTACCACGGGCACAAAGCAGAGGCGCGTGGTGTCCTATTATTTTATTGAGATTTGCGTAGACTTACTACCGGCAGTTTCGTTTGGCTTGTGCCCCGGTTTTTTGTTTATTTAGATGTGAATGGCTTATTTCATTCACTCGATCAAACGCTGGCTTTGAAAACTCATTGCTTGGATAGTGGGTTTCAAATTAAAAGTACCTTCCTGTATGTTTTCCTGCACCAGAACATGTCCTGTACTAGCTAGTGAAAATAACATCTAGGGGAGGTGATGAGATGGAAGTTTTCCTCTTATCCAAACAGTCAAGTTAGGATGGAACGGGGTCCCACTCTTGATGTAGATGATGTTGATGATGAGGGGATTGATGGTCTGCATGTCCTCCCACAGTCCCACTTTGGTATGGTCCCACATAGGATGGAACACCTGTCCAACTACATGAGTCGTCCCATATAACAGGTTGCTGAAAAGCTTTTAGAAGTCTATGATCAACAGACTGTTGATCACCAAAACTGTTGATTTTTAATGTATAATATATCAAAACTGGTAAAAATCTATCTAAGAAATTCATTTGCAGTTTTTGAGTCACAATTCTCCATTGTCTTGGCCTCCAAAAGTGGTTTTTCTAAGAATTTTTCTTTTGTAATAAATTATTATCTTTGTTGTTTACACACATTTTCAGTTCTAGTTTGATTAAAAATTCTTCTCTCACTAAAATATAATGTTTTAGAAAGTCTGTCTAATTACGGGTTTTACTATTTCAAAAAAATAAAATGAAATCTAGGCATTGCTTATAAGTAAACCATTGCACAAGTTCCTATTCAGTGAATTGAAAAAAAAAAATTCTTTGAGTTTTTCTGTTCTCTTTGTAGATTCAAGGTTTTCTTTAAGCCTTGTTCATTTTTCGGTAAGTTATTTATCCAGGGAAATTTATTTATTCAGTTAAGTGTTTTTTAGAAAAGATTTATCCGGATAAGTGCATTTATTCATGTTCTTTTATTTCTCATATAAATAAGACAATGACCATTTTAGCCATAAAAATATATTATTGAAATGGTCATTTTTATCCATTCAAGTGTTGGCAATTTTCTTCCAGGTGGGAAAGTTATTTATTCACCCATGAAAATAAATTTTCTCTGGTCCCTATGTAAATCTGAAAAAAGAATATGAGATTCTTGATCAATAGGAATCAAAATCCCATAAACCAACTTTCCTCCCTCTCAAAATCCAAAAAAAGAATGCTCCCTTAATTTGAAGAAAATGGGTGATCTTCTTTCTTATCTTCCTGCTATATATGGCACATTCTCTTTGATGTGAAGTTGAGGGTTTGGTTGAGGATTTTCTGTGAACCCGAACCTGATATAGTTGTAACTCTTTAAATCAGGCAACTCGACTTGTAGATAGTTAGGAGATGGATGACTCTATTTTGTTGACATTAATTTAAAAAGAAAAAAAAAAGAAAATTGAAGAGGTCACTCTCTCTACTGTTGCCATGTGGATGGCAATCAGCTTGGACAGATTTTTATTTTTATATGGGGATGTCAATGGTTAAGCTTAAATGAAACGATGAACATATCTTGCCTTGACGCTATAGGTTCAGGTTTACTTGGTGTAGGGTTAGGTTATAGTTTTGATTTTCAACTCCAATAAGGTTCGGGCTGGGTAGGGGTGTTACTGTCTCAGCACACCACACCAGATACCCCTACATATATAAAGGGTATTTTTTAAATTTGATATGACTTCTTTTTATGTTTGATTTGGTTTTTCGTCTTTCATCATGGAGGAGGAACTGAGGCCTTATAACCCATAAACTAAACTCCAAATTGAATTGGGTTCAGGTTAAATTCGTGGAGGGTTGGATTAGGGTGAAGGAAAACTCATATGGATCCTACCCATTGACAACCCTATTTTCATGTTTTGATGCGGTATTGCTGCAATATGTTTCTTATTTTAGTGAATTAGGCTAACTGAAAATTCACCCACGATAACCTCCACTAACATATCTGTGCTTTTGGTTAAATGAATTAACCAACAAAATAAATTACAGATAACTTCAGCATTCAGTTTCTTATTCTCCTCTTGAAAATCCCTCCACCAACATGTTTGTCAGCTTGTTTGCACAGAAGAAATTAAAAATTTTCATTATAACGATGGGTTTTAGTACTTGATTTTCTTTTTTTTTTTTTCTCTTGGTCAATGCCATATCAGTACTCTACTATCTTAGCACATTACCCAAAAAAAAAGAAAAAACTCTTAACATTGGATAGAGAATATTATAATGCTCTTATAATAGGACAGGTGTCTTTTCTTGAATGGGAAGACATCAAGGAAGTACAGAATGGGAGTACAGAAATCCCAATCCGCTCTAATTAGGCTTTCTAAGGCATGAATGTGAGAGGATTCAATTAGGGGTGGTTACGAGCCGAGTCTTTCACGAGTTATTCAAGTTCGGTTTGGCTCTCGGTGAAGTTCGGCTTGCGAGTCTAATATTAAATAAATAATTTTATTATATATATACAATACATATATACATACATAATACATTCATATAAATATATAATAAATAATTTTATTTTTTATGTATAATAGTAAATAATTTTTGTAATTCTTAATTTTATGTCAAAAAAATAAAAAAAATAATAATTTTATACATATAATTTTTATTTTTCAGAAAAAACTTGGCTTATAGTTGAACTTGAACCAAGTCGAGCTTGAACTTGCAAACTATGAACCAAACCGAGTTCAAGCTCGAACCTGATACTATTCCTGTGAGCTGAGCTCAAATAACCAAGTATGCAGCTCGGCTCAGTTCGACTCAGCTCGAATCCACTCCTAGGATTCATTAAGGCTTTATTTGGGCAGAATCCAATAGAAACTGATTTGGGCACATCCCATTTTTTACCCAATCCTGTAACTCACTTTAAGGGTGCATTTCTTAAAGGACAAAAAGCAATTCCATGTTTTTGTTACTTCCGCTTTTTGTTTTTAATCATGTTATCAGGAATGTGTCCGTTTAGAAAACAAAAAATGGATGTGCCCTAATCACTCTCCACTCAATGCAAAAATTTGGAAGTGTGAAACCAGCTATCTGTCAATTGCCCAAATCATAAGTTTGGTCCCAACAATTTTATACAAAAGAAGCACAACCCCCGATAGGGCTCTTGTGGCTCTTTGGTCAAATATTCTTAAATTAATTACCTTGATCTTTTCATATGCTTAATAATTTAGTGTAAAAATCAGTTAAAAGGAGTTAGAATAAAGCATCTAGAAGTTTTAAAACATAAAGTAAATAAAAAAAAGTAGTTTATAACATATCACATGAAGGAAACCCCTCAGTTGACCAGATACACTTTGATTAGTAATCCTTTTCCTTGCTATTTTCTAATGATCCACCAATTATGATGTGACACGTATGCTAACAGGGTAGAGGGGCATACGAAATTACCAAACCATCCTTCATTGTCCTATCTAATAACCAAAATATGCTTACCCAAGTCGCTTTTCTTGGTCAAGAATATATTCATTTATTGGACAGTTGCAGGTTTTTCTTCCCTGCATTGTACTACTGAATATGGAATTTGATAGGTTTCCTTGGTTTCTACAAGTGAAATGCCATTAGAAGTTATACGATATAAGCTACATCTATCAGATTTCTCTGGTCAAGTATTTGGGTGTTTGGATATAACTTTCCTTCTTAAGCCTAATTCCCTTTACACTATAATCCATCCCTCTTTCATGTACATAATTACATAATTGCATTCTCCTTGACACTATAATCCTAAATCCTTTTGTGTTTTACATAATTAATTTATGAGAAATCATCATATTGAATCATTTTAATTTATATAATTATATTATTCGTTTTGATAAATATTAGTGTAAGGCATGTATCATACTTGTAAGTAAAGGGTAAAGATATAATTTAATATTATATTATTAAATTTAATTTTTATGACATACACTAAAATTAAAGCCAACATCCGCTTTATATATTATAGATATTGTGCATCAAAGTGATTTTATATGTATACTCAAATGGATATCAATTGTTTTATGTAATCCTATTATTATAATAAACAGCATGCATGATTCACAAGGAAGAGCATACCCTTTAAAAAAGACAAAAGAAAAAAAAAAAAGATATGCCAGGTTTTGACAGTGCAAGATTTTATTTTATTGATGTTTGGCATATTTGACAATATTCTGTGTGCATCAAACTAGAATTTTTTTAGACTGTGTTTGGTTGTAGTGCAATTTTATTTGCATTAGTACAAATGCATGGGAGTGCAAATGTAAAAAGTGCAAATTCTCGTTTAATTTTGGTTGGGATTTTATTTTATCCTGCTCCATGTCTTAATTTACTTCATTTGTACTGCAACCAAACAAAATAAGCTAAAAATTGAAACAACAATTGATCGGATTTTACACTCAAATCATTTGCACTGCTATGATTTTGCATCAGTACAAATTTATTTGCATTGCAACAAACACAGCCTTATGATTGGATAGAAAATAAGAGAGGAACAAAAGGTTAAAAGATAGTTTTTAAGAAACTTCACAAAATTTACTAAGAACTTTCAGTCAGACTTCTGTTTCTCTCTTATTTTCTATCAAACCAAATATGTTGCCTAAGATTAAACTAATATTCTTTTCTAGTTGTGAGGCATGACTGTTAGAATTTCCTCAAGGTTGTCTATTAATGATCAAAAAGGATTTTTAAGAATTTTAGAAAAACCACATTGTTTCATACATTTTTTATTGGAGAAAATAAAGTTGAATTTGCATAATAAGGTGTAGGATTTTTAAATAAATCCTTGATGGGTTAAAATTGAACAAGTTCCTATTTACTTCCATATAAAAAGTAATTTAAACGTTTCTAATTTCTAGTTATTTAATATGTTTTTTATTATAACTATAATGCATCATATCATAGAGATCTGTTTTATATGATCATCAGATCTTCAAGGCATGTTTGTAATAAGAACTTATAGTATTTCTCATGCATCATTTTCATTGGAATAACTTTAATTCCTTTGGGGAAATTTTCAAAATTTTGAGGCTATGTTAGTTTGATATAGAGTTGAGGGGAAGTTTTTAAGGAATTCTACATAGCTTTAATGACCTGACACTCTTGTTATGGTTTGAAAGTAAATCCATGCGGCAATATATAAGGTTTTGTTTGAATAAGCTTCAAGATTGTGCTTTCAAAGCCAAAAAGCACAAAGCCCCAGTTTTAGGCTTGTGCTTTGGGGCTTAAAAGTGCTTTGGCTTTAGGTTGTTATGCTTTTAAAAAGCAAGTCTTATTAAATGCAAAATTCTTTTTGGCACAATTTTGTTTCTCACAGTCAAAGCTAAAAAACAAAAACTTATCTGAACAAAGCCTAATTTGTTTTTGTTTTTTGTTTTTTTAATTGGGTAAAAGATCAAATAGAAGAAATAGAAAAAAAAGGGCAAAGAAGATGACATCTTGAGAGTTGACCCCAGGTCTAAGATCGGCCTATCCATATGACCCACCTATGCCTCATCCACTACATTGCTTCTCCCATGCAATATAAGTCCTCCTTTCCCAGTTGGGCAATATATACTTGACTCCTATCGTGGTCAGGCAACCTCTTGATTTTTAGATCTAAACCTTAAATTCCAAAAGCCTAACTAAAATCTTAATTCCTGAATCCTAAAATCTAGACTCTTTAACTCTTAAATCCTCTAAAATCTAAATTATAAATCCTTAAATCCTAAACCCTTAAGCCCTTAAATTTTAAGATTAGTGTGTAAAATGGCTATGGTAGGATACATGTTTTATAACCTGACAGGAGCTAAGCTAAGGATATGCTTGGTTGTATTGGTTTCTTTGTCCTTCCCTTCCTTTCCCTACTTTTTTCCTTCAAACCAAACATAGCCTATGTATTTTCCTCCCTAGGTTGTGCACTGTTCCATGATGCCACTACTAAAACCCCGACATAACATAAGGATGGCTATTGCTTTGCAAATGTATTTTTGCCTTCTCACAGCTAGAAAACAAAATGGCAATCAAGCTATTTGCAATAATAACTTAAATAATGACTAAGGTATTATCCGTCTTTCACTTTGGAATTCAATTTGCTCTTGGCACCAAGTCCCAACCATGCATTGGGAATATCTTCCTATAAATGATAAAATATAAATACAGGAGATATTCCCAATGTGTGGTTGCAAATGATGTGAGGTTGGTTTGAGGAGTGGTTTTGAGGAGCAAACCTGGATTCTTCACTTTGAGCTACTTTGATCCAAATAGAATTGTTGCCTCAGCTGAAACAATATCTCTGTCAAAAATAGAAAAAGAAGAAAGAAAGAAAGAAAGCGCATCTCCTGTGCAGTTTGCCCAAAGAAGTTCAAACCCTAATAAAAAAGGAGAACTATTGGTTGACTGAGAAAGCGAGAGGGAGAGATATGGGTTTTGCAATTTTGGTTGTGAGGGACACACAATGTGAGGAGGAGAATAATGAGAGACAGAGAGAGTCGTGCAGAATCAAAAAGAGCACAAGGTAAAGAAAGAGAAGTTAAGATTTTTTCCATACACTCTAAAATATTTATCTAAATTTTTTACCAAAAAATCTAAAATTATGTGTGTGTGTGTGTGTTCAGGCTTTTTATCCTATACTAACATTTCAATAATGTTTGTAAGAAAAAATAAATAAAGATTTTAATAATGGTCTATATAAGCGTTGCAATTAGTGACTTAAATAAGAAGTTATCACAAATTGCAAATGTATAGTGATAGTTTTTAAGTTCTATAGTACCACTCTTTGAAAACTATCACCCCAAAAGATAATAAATTATTGATGCTTAGAGTAAAACTTCGTTAAATATGTGAATATAGTGTTAGTCATTTATGAACATTATTGGCTAAGTGTCAATATATCTAAGATTTCTTGTGTTGGATTTTAATCTCATTAGAGATTAAATTCAATGGGTGTTTGATTGATTAATTACATAATAAAACACATTTATACATGTACTTGAAAAATGGTTTTAAAATTTCCACCAAAACTCTATTTTGACATGTTTTTTCATCCTTTAAGACTTATCCCACATTGGAAAATTAAAGAACTTGACTTGAGTTTTTAAGTAGGAGCTTATTTATATTCCTGCACACACACATGTATGTGTGTCCCTCAGGGCTGATTTGAACTCACATTTACAAAGAACCCAATAGCAAACTCAATAAAACTAAATGTGGTTAGATTAGATTGATTTTGAGCACATCATTTTCGATTCATGGGATTTATAATATGTTTAGGGTAATTTCAACCCGATTAGGGAAACTCTTGATCATCTTGGCAAATTAATATTATATGTTATTAAAAAAATCAATATAAATATTGATATATAATTATAATAATTAAATCAATTTAATATAAAAATGGATTTTTGGCTCTAGTGACCCTTGAACTTTGGGAAAAAGGCCAATTTTGACCCTAAACTTTAAAAAAAAAAAATGTCATTTTCGACCTTGAATTATGGAGAAAAGGCCAACATAAGGCCAAAATGGACAACATTAAAGACGTCATTGACGGTTTCGTTAGAAAAGGCCAACAAAATCTCTGCTTTAACCACTCCACTCCATGATCGAATCAAATATCCTACAATAGGATCAACCACAAGAGGCAAAAACATAACCATTAATTGTATGTGCGCTGAAGTCTTTGACGGAGAAGCCATTTGTTTTAAAGAGATGCTTCAACTTTTCCTTCGTGAAAGGTTCCTTGATACATCAGCTTAAGAGGAGGATGACAATAAAATGAAGCAAGAGCAGATAAATGGCTTTGCCTTGATCCCATACTCTGGTTATAAGACAATTAGAGTCATCGCACAACCTCTCTCTCTCTCACTGGTAGAGGGGGGTGAATGTCTTCATATCATCATTGAATCCGACATAGAACACCCGGATATATAGCTTCTTCAAGGTTCCAACCCGTGGCTTGTAAGAATTATGTCATTGTCTGGGTTAAATGGCCTATAACAATTCTTAGGAATTCTCACATGAAACTATGATGTTCTCCATGTTTTACATTTCTATTGATCAAAGCTAAGGTTTCGCTTGTTTGCGATATAAATGTCGAATCGGGATATTTATGTATTGCATTTCGCGTTTACGAGTATTTGTTTGACATGTAAAAAAGTAATGATTATTATATCAAAAATATATTTTCTAACACTTTTGTACTGAAAAGAAAGTACAAAAATGAGTAATGATTATTAGATCAAAAATGTATTCTCTAGCATTATTGTACCTATTTTTTAAATACAATTTTGTATTCTTTTTCTTAAACCCTGGTGGCAGCGGGATTTGATCTCAGGTCTCTACTCCAACGAGTTAGAGAACCTATCAACTGAGCCACCATCAATTGGCATAATTTTGCATTCTTTTGATAATCAACCTTTTAACCAAAATTAAGGCATTGGAGCATAATGCAATTGGAGAATTTAATGATGGGAATTCAAACAAACAAGATGAGTATAAAAACGATTTAATATCTGAACCGTATTTGCATTCATGAACCAAAAAGAAGATAAATATGCAATGTACATATTTACATATTTGCAATTTACATTACAACCAAACACAAATTAAAGAATAAAATCGTAATGACTTGTGGTTCAACGAAAAACCCTCATATATAGCCCATCTTGTTCTAGTTATGAGATATCCCTCCATATCTCTCTCATAAAAGTTGCAATCACAAACATTTAGGTGTCCATACCTCACTCTCTCTTGACATTTGAGCCACCAAGCAGGCCGATTTTAGCGCAACTACGATCAAGTCATCTTCACTCCAATGCTCTCTAATTCCGTAGGGATGTGAACAAGTGGGAATAAACCAACCTTTAATTAATTATTAAATAAAATAAAAATATATTTTTGTTTTATTCTTGGTCACATGTAAACAAATGGAAATGCTAACTGAGACCCAATTGTAATTTTCTAAATTTATTTTGACTTGATTAGTGTCACATCCATAAGCCGAAGGAAGTGCCTTTGCGGGAAGTGGACTAAACCAAGAAGTCTTGGTTTTAAATTCAACACAGGTGGGGCTGTGAGAGGAAGCACGGGGTCAGGAGGTGGTGGTGGAATTCATCTGGGATGCAAATGATGATATGCTCGTGGTCGTGGCCTTCTCTCATTTCTATGGCATTGTTTCTAACACTCTTGTTGAAAGTCAAGCTCTTCATAACAATTTGAGACTATGTGATGATCTTTGATTGGTTGGAGATAGGGTGGAATTGGATTTAGAGGTTCTGTTTTGGATGTTGAAAGGAAGGGATATTGAAACTCATAAGCGAGGTGCCTGATAATCTTACCCACGCTTAGGCAGAATGCAGTCGGGTGGTTGATGCTTTAGCAAAGCATAATTGTGACTCTAAGAGCAATTTTTTGTACCGTCTAAATTGAATGTAACGTCTGTTTTCAGGTTTTGGGAATAGTGTCTTAACACTTTTAACAATGGAGTGACTGAGCAGTGGTGGTCTGTGTTTTACCCTTTTGTGCTTTTGGCGGGTGGAATCAGTGTAACTACATGGACGATTTTTCACCACTGGATTGGTGCCAGATGAGTCGTCTGACAACACAAAATTTCTGGTCACAATCGCTATCATGGTCACTGTTTAAAGAAATGGGGATCGCTATCATGCATTTTTCTATTTTCCAGTGAAGAAAATTAAGGAGAACCACTTATCATAAATCAATAATGGTGAAAAAAAAAACAAAAAAACAAAAAAGCAGAGAGTTTGCTCTACTTCTTTCTTGACCCAATTGATCCTCCACGGTCGAATTACTGAGTGCGAAGAAGTATGGCAAACGCAATTTTATCTGCTTTTCTGCAAGTTGTCTTTGAGAACTTGGCATCTCCTGTAATAGAAGAGTTTGGATTGCTGTTGGGTGTTGACAAAGAGCTGAAAGGGTTGTCAAGGACACTGTTGAGAATTCGTGCAGCGCTTAATGATGCCGAGGAGAGGGAAATAAAAGAGGAGGCAGTGAAGATTTGGCTGAGAGATCTTAAAGATGTGGCTTATGAGGTGGACGATTTGCTGGATGAAGTTGCCACCAAAGCTCTGGAATCCAAAGTCCATGCTGGGTTTCAATCCGATAACAATCAGGTAACTAGTTTCTTTTCATCCTTCAATTCAAGCCAACTCCTATGTCAGATTGGGTTAGCACATAGAATAAGGGAGATTTCTGATAAATTATGTGAGATCCGAAAAGAAAGTAGTGATCTTCGACTGAGAGAAGTTGGAGATAAAAGGATTGGAATTAAAGAGAGACCACAAACTAGTTCCTTAATAGATGAATCATTCATTTTCGGTAGAGAGGCAGAGAAAAGGGAGATAATTGAACTTCTGTTATCTGAAAATTACAGGGGCCAAGATATTTCTGTCATTCCCATAGTTGGCATGGGTGGACTTGGAAAGACCACACTTGCTCAGCTTGTCTATAATGATGAGAGGGTAAAGAAACATTTTGAACTAAGAATGTGGATCTTTGTGACTGAAGATTTTGATGTAAGAAGGCTTACAAAATCAATAATAGAATCTGCCACCAGGAAAACTTTTGAGCTCATGGATTTGGATCCTCTTCAAGTTACTCTTGAGGAAATACTAAGTGACAAGAGATTTTTGCTAGTACTAGATGATGTATGGAATGAGAAATCCAAGGACTGGGATGCTTTACGAGTTCCCTTTAGAGTTGGAGAAAGAGGGAGTAAAATTATAGTGACTACTAGGAGTAAAATAGTTTCTTCAATCATGGGAACAATTTCTTCTTACCATTTACCCGGCTTATCAGATGAACATTGTTGGTTGTTGTTTGCACAACGAGCATTTCTAGATGGTATTCTTGATGTTCATCCCAACTTGGTAAAAATTGGTAAAGAAATCGTTAAGAAGTGCCAGGGATTGCCTTTGGCAGCAAAGACACTTGGAGGACTCTTGCATTCTAAGACTGATGAAAATGAGTGGGAAGTTATTTTGAATAGCAAAATATGGGATTTGCCAGAAGGTTTTAATGACATACTGCCTGCGTTGAAATTGAGCTATCATCACCTACCAGGACATCTGAAGCGGTGTTTTGTTTATTGCTCCATATTTCCTAAAGATTATGTATTTGATAAACAGAAGTTGGTGCAATTATGGATGGCAGAAGGGTACATAATTTCTGATGGAATAAAAAGGATGGAAGATATTGGAAATCAATATTTTGATGATTTGTTGTGGAGGTCTTTTTTCCAGCATTCATATAATTATGAGAAAAGACAATCAATTTACACCATGCATGATCTAATCCATGAACTTGCTCAAAGTATTGCAGCTGATGAGTGTTTGAAAGTGGAGGATAATAGGCCATACAGTATTTCTAGAAGGCTCCACTATTTATCATTGCTTTCTGAGAACATAGATCCAACAGTATTTGAGGTTTTTTACAAGTGCAGAATTTTAAGGACTTTCCTGTTGCTGCATGAACACCCAACCAACATTGAGCATGTTCCTCCTAATCTCTTTTTAAAACTGAGATCCTTGCGTGTTTTGGACTTGAGTCATACTCGCATTACTGAATTACCAAGTTCGGTTGACAATTTGACACATCTTCGTTACCTTGACCTCTCACAGACTCTTATTAAAATTCTACCTGAATCATTTTGTAAACTCTACAATCTACAGACATTGAAACTTAGGGGTTGCTATGAGCTGCTTGAGTTACCCAAGAATACTATGAACCTAATCAATCTACGCCATCTTGAGATAGAAATATATTCTCGACTAATTTCAATGCCACCACATATTGGTAGACTAACCAATCTTCAAACACTCTCCACATTTACTGTGGGAAAAGATGAGGAATGTGGGATTGGACAGTTGAAGAACATGATGAACCTTAGAGGATCACTTGCCATCACAAAGCTGGAAAACATTTTAAAGTTGGAGGAAACACAAGAGGGAAAGTTGCTGAATAAGCACTACATTCATAAGTTGGAGTTGATATGGAGTCGAGGTGAAGCCATAAACTTGAGAGATGGGGTAGCAGAGCACCAAGTACTTGAAGGCCTAAAACCTCATGAAAACCTTAAAGAGTTGACTATACGAGATTACTGTGGTTTCAAGTTTCCAAGTTGGGTTTGTGATCCATCCTTCTCAAATCTGGTAAGCCTGAGACTCTTGTATTGTCGAAAATGTGAATTCCTCCCACCACTAGGCCAACTGCCCTTCCTCAAGTGTCTCTATATAGGTGCAATGAATAAGGTTAAATATGTGGACCATGAGTTCTGTGGGGATGGAGCGGTGAAGGGGTTCCCATCATTAGAAAGTCTAACGTTTGCAAGCATGCCCTTTTTGGAGCAATGGACTGGACCAAATGGAGGAGAATTCCCCTGCCTTAGTGAAATTACCTTTACACTATGCCCAAAGCTGAGGGTGATATTGCACTTCCCATCCACCACTACAACAGTGCAAATATCAAATTGTCGGCGTTTAACTACTCTTCCAAGCCTTCCATCAATCCGCAATTTAGTGGTGCAGTATTGTGATGAGATGCTGTTGAGGTCCTTGCCTCAGCTTATGAATCTTTCTTCCTTGGACATATCTGGGTTTCCAGAGCTAATTTCTCTACCTCAGGAGCTGCTATACTCCTTGACTGCACTTAAAGAGTTAGACATTAGTTATTGTGAGGGGCTCAGGTCTTTGTCAGAGAATCAAGGATTGCAACACCTATCATCTCTTGAACATTTGGAAATTTCTGAGTGCCCTAGTCTAATATCCCTTGCAGAAGAGGTCCTGCCCACAACACTTAAACATTTTGAGATATCAAATTGTCCAAATCTCAGGTCCTTACCCAAGAAAATGGGGAATCTGTCTTCCCTCCAGGACATAGAAATTCGGGAATGCCAACAGCTTGAACATTTGCCAGAGGGAATTCAAAATCTTACTTCTCTCCAACTTCTTGAAATTTGGGGATGTCCTCAAATCTTATCCTTTCCAGAGGATAGGCTTCCAGACAATCTTCAACATTTGTCCATTAGCAAGTGTCCACAATTAGTGGTCCGGTGTCAAGATCACTGTGGTGAAGATTGGCACAAAATATCCCATGTCCCAACAATATTGATCGATGGCAAGCGCAAATCTCCTAATTGTTAAATTTGGAAGGTAATTCTCTGTTGTTCTAAATCTAACAAGAGTGCTTTTTTTACTTGTAGCTGATCCAAAACTTTTGGGAAATCAGAAATACCTTTTTTTTTCTTTCGTATGATTTGTACTCTTTATCTTTTTTTCACTCTTGTTTTTGGAACCAAGTAGAAACATATCCTTTTAAATGGAACAGGGGTATGCTTGAATTAAAAAAAAAATATGGGTGACATTTATTAATTAGTTTTTACCCCATACTAGAAGGTACCTCTTCTGTTTTTTATCTTTTGAATATTAGCATGGACCTTTCTCTGATAGAAAGATCAAAATATGAGAAGAAAAGGTCACTGAACAATCATAGTTGATTTGAGCATCCTCCATTCTGTTGTAGTCTTTGCTAAGTCAAACAAATAATTTTGCTTTTGAACATGTGACAGATAGTGTTTTTTAATACACTTTAGTAACCCCCACCTCAAAAATATGAGAAAATTAATCCATATATTCCACTCCTTATACCCATTGAGACATGTTTGAGTGGCCTTTCCACACAATTGCATGCTGGATGTGGTTATTTAATCAGACAGGTTCTTTCAGACTTCTAAATGTTCATGATTTTCATATGGATAATTAGAGAAACTAATCTTCACAACTTTTTTATTGTACGGTTGGACAAAAGCATGTGAACAAACTTAAAAGCCCAGTTCTTTCTTGTTGATTCACTTGAGGGAAATATACTGCATCATCTCAATGAACTTATCTCTGCATGCTTTTCATTTGGATAACAGATCTCTTAACTCTGAGGCTTTAGTTCAAAAAAAGATGTACTACACCTTGTTTCCTCTTGCCTTTCCATATCTTGAATGTGCTATACTTTTCAGCCTGTATTCTTTTATTAACTGGAAGAGCATACAAGTCAAAATTGAAAATTTCTGAACCTTTTATGAATTTATGTATTTTTGAGCAGTAAGGACAATTTGGTCCTTTTATTGCTTGTTTTGGGCATAGCCTTGGTTTCTAATTAGTTTAGTCATAATTAGTTCATGTTTGATATTTTAGTCATTGTATAAGTAGTTTAGAAGTACTGAATTTTCCTTGCATTAAATTATGATGGTGGTATTTCTGGAATTTCTGTTTTTCATCATTCTGGTAGGATTGGTCACTCTTAGAGAGAGTACATATGAAAAAGAGGAGTTAAGGGCTTCAGATGGTCCGGATTTTCTGTAGACTAACAGTGGTGGCCAACACTGTAGACCCAATAAGAGACCACCATCTGTTCTCTCCTCAAAAGTAGCTCTTTCTTGATCAGCGTGGATGCTGATTTTAAAGTGAATAAATATGCAATTATGGTGTTCTGGTCAGGAATGGTGACAGTCTTCTTGTAGCAGCCTTTTGTGGTCCTTGCTTGGCAAAGTCTCCAGTTCAAGGTGAAGCTTCTATGGTTAAACAGGGTATTTTGGTTATGAAAAGATTGAATATCAGAAATGCTATGATGGTTAGTGAGCGCCAATTTCTTAAATGGTCCAGAGAAATTGTAGCCAGTTAAAATATGCTGAAGGGTATCAAGGAAATTGATGCTGGCTGATTTGGAACAGTTTATTTTCTTTCCAAGGTAAAATATATATATATATGTTAGTGCATTTTGATCACCCAAAGGGGTTTTATGGAACCGCAAGATTTTATGGGGGATCCACCTAGAATGCTTTTTTCTTTGCCTGTTTTGTAGTTGTATGTCTGTTATTTTCTGTTTTCCATTTGTTTTGTTTTCTGTTTGTATTAGTTTGCTTGGTCCTCAGTTAGTGTTTGTATTGTCTTATGTTGTCATGTCTGTTGATAGTGGTGTCTTATGCTTGCATGCTGCTTTCCCACTTTGAATGAAAGTTTTCTCCTTACCAATAAAAAAAGAGTGCACATAAAGGGTGGTCAGTGGTTCCCTCACCTACAGTTATTCTAGGCCTCTGATTGAGTGACTAAGGTTTTTTCTCTCTTCTTTCTCACTCGTATCTCCTCTCAAGTTTTACAAGCAATCACTACAGCCGTCAATAGCTCACAAGTTCTTCTTAAAAAGGAATTTATTCAGCATCTTGGAAGCAGGATTTAGTTCAGGTATATCCTCCATAGCCAAAATTCTTGAAATCTCATTGTTTCACTAGATTCTCCTGAGGATAGACTCTTCTCTATCACCACCCCTAAGGTTGGGTGGTAACCTAATCTAATCCAGATGCCCCCCATCTTTAACCAAATAAACATAATATCTGTAGGTGAGGGAACATTCCTAATCCTATCACAACCTAAAATGTTTGTTCTTTTGTGCCCAACCTTCTCTGTCCTTCATCTTAGGTTTCCCCCATAGGCCTTTATCACTATCTATCCTACCAATTTCATCCCAAAACTTTACCTAGAACCCTGGTTTCCATAATTTCCAGATTTTATTTACAAAGTAGATATTCTGTCCTTTTATAGATGGATAAGTGGAAAAACTAGAAAGAATAGGATCAAGAATGAAATCTTCCATAGGAACTTAGAAATAGTTCCAATGCGTGATAAAATGAGAGAAAGTGGATTAAGATGGTTTGGTCATGTGCATAGAAGGCCATCAGCAACACCAGTAAAAAAAAGTGATTTATTATAAGTTGAAGGGGCTAGAAGTGCTAGGGGTAGACCAAAAAGGATATGGGTAGAAGTAGTAAGAAATTATTTAAGCACTCATAATTTAAGGTGGATATGGCATTAAATAGAATGGGTTGGCCCAACAGGATTCATGTAGCCAATCCCATGTAGTTGGGATAAGGTATGGATAACGATAATGAGATATTTTGTCCTTTTATGCAAGATGTAGTTAGAACTTAGAACCCTATCAAACCTACCAAAGTTGGTGGACCCTTATAATTCTCCATTATAAACCTACTTTCCTCAATTCAAAACTTTTCATTATTTTGGGATAAGCCTATTATTTTTGCATTTGCAATATATCCCCTGTCTAACCTAAACCATCCTACCTGTTTACCTTAATTTCATCCTTAAATGACTTTAAACATATTGCCTAGTTTTAGAAATGCATCTTAAGTGAACCTACCTTACATCAATTTGGAATCAGTCATTCCTACATTAGTCCAGAAGTGAGCTGAACAAGTAATATGAGATGAACAAGAAAATTTAAAAAAAAAATAAAAAAGTATAATATTTGTCTTGTTCCAATGGTGTAATTATTGGGGATGAATGTTGAATGGGATCATCAGTCTAACTCAAGCTTGGTGAGTTTCTGGGACTGGGATCACAAATCCACCTGATATTCCATGGTCTGACAGTCATTTTATTTTATTATTACTAGTAGAATGGCCCGTGCGATGCACAGGGAATTTAAACCAGTGAATGATTAATCATAACCAGGTATAGAACTTACTAAGTTGGGTGTAGTCACTTAGGTTGATTCTTGATTGGCTGTGTTAGCATCTATTTGTTTGATTATTGAAGCTTTGACCCAAAATGAAACTAAACTTCAATTTCATTAATCCTAATTGAGCAGAACTGATAAGGTTAAGAAAACATAATTAACTTAAAACATGATTAATGATTCCACTTAATATATAATGTAAATGTGGATATATAAAAGTATGCAAAAAGTGTAAACAGGTACCATAATTGATGCATCTATATTTAGTTTGTGACTGTAGTTGTATATGCACAAGGAGGCAAATAAATTAACAAAAGGTTAAGAAACTACCACATGCAGGTAATTCCAATATGAGCAATCCCTCCACGATAACTTGTTTGAACCATGTGAATGTTTAACTTGTATCTGGGAAAGAAAATGAAAAACAAGTCAATTGTGTTATAGTTTCCTTTAAATTAAGGAAAGCAAAAATAGTAAACAAAAGAAAAAGAAACTTGAATGTATTTTTTATGGATCAAACAAAATGTTGAATGGAATTAAAAAGAAACTTCAATGTACTTTTATTGAAAAATTTGTGTTGCCACCATTCTAGAGAAAAAGGTTAAAGAGCCTAGATCATATAAAGTGTGTTCAATATGCAGAAACCAGATGACCCACTGTCACGCGGGGCCAAAAACATGAAAGAGATGAGTCCAAATTTTTCAATAATTAAAGGTTAATATTAACATTGCAAAAGGGGAATGGTTGCTAATGAGATTCATCATTAGAGTTATAAGTGCCCTCTATAGACTGACATATCTACTCTGTCTATAGGATTTATTTCTAACCCATGTTTGTATGGGCTTAATCTAATAGATAATATATCTAAAGGGGAAAAGAAAAGAAATTGAGGAATGACCAACATTAGATAACATTACCAGGACTCAATTAAGTTAAGAAAATCTCAAGATATGGCACAGTTCTGAGCTTAAGTTTAATTCAAAATTCAGTTTTCATGATAACTTTAGTTCATACTAATTTTCATGATATTTTAGTCCACACTAACTTTAATTCAAAATATCATGATATTTTATTTTAGCTCCACGGTTCTCTACTTTCTATGCTTTACTTCTGGCCCAAAAAAATTGGCCAATCTGGACTAATAGCACAAAAAAAGTAGCGTATAAATAAATTCCGTTCAAAAAAATTAAAACAATACATTAACTAAACAATCTAGAGTGTAGAGAACTGAAGTTCAAACATACTTTAATTCAAAATTCAGTTTTCATGATATTTTAGTTCATACTAATTTTCATGATATTTTAATTCAACAGTTTTAAATTGTCATATGATGAGTGCAATTTCAGTTGTTGAGTGATGGGAGGGAGGGCTAGATGTTCAGGTTCCACATTCTGTAGTGATAAATTAGAAATCTTTATTGGAAAAAACAGACCAGAAACATAACAAGGCAGGAATATTAGAGGTGATAAAATCATTAAACACTCCAGTTGTCATAAGTTATTTTGTGTCATTTTTGGTTTCAATTTGTTCATAGATCTATCATCTATTAGTTGAACTGATGTTGTCTTGCTGCTGGGCTGGCTAGGAAGTGATAGCTTAGTGAAATCACAATACTGAAGCATCATGAGTGAGATAAAGGTGGTAAAGGGATTTGCATTGCAGTTTTAATTGGGTAGCAAGAATAGCCAATGCAATGACTGATGCATTGGCTAAGCAAAGGGATAAATAAACAAGATCTGTTCTGGGTGCAAGTTGGGTATATCAGCCTTATGTTAGGAAAAGCTGATATTATTTGCAAAAGC